ATGAACCTTCATGAACTTTATAATTGTTCAATTGTATCATAAAGTTGAGTAGTACTCATTACTTCACTACCATTGTATTTCGTCTTTGGACAGAGCTGGTTGCCAAAAGTAATATACTGTGGTTATCCGATTTAAAAAGTTTAGCACAAAGATTCTGCATACTAGGAGTTACAACACAAATTACCAGTTTATTTTAGTTTAATATAAGTTTGTATTAGATTCAACCTGTTTAACAACAAGCTTCAAATGTCTTTCTTTTGAATTACATTGGAAGGAATACAGAATACTCCTGATATCTCTTTAGTGGTTCTACATATATACGTGGAAAGATGCAAAGCACTGTTTCTATACAGTTCACTCTAGGCTACCACGCATCCTTTTAAACTCAACTGTCAAACATTCATATTAACTGGGGGCACTGGGGAAATTGGTTTCCTGGGAACCTCTAAATCACAACCATGTTTTAAATGAACTATTACCTTTATCTGGTTATTCACAGTCAAACCTGCCTGTTAACCGACTGAGAGTTTTATAAACGTGGGAAATTTTGACAGAGGTTCACTCGGTTGGTCACATTTTCACTCAGATAGTATCCTATTGTAGCACCATTTTCTGCTACAGAGCACAGTAATACATATTTTAATACAAGGCACACGTAAGAGACAATGGCATGCAAAGCAGATTGTTCTTGACACAACACAGATTTATCGGGACTCCAGCTCCGCTATTGTTCACTTTTTATTAGCTGCTCTTTGCTAGCTTGTCCATTGTGAAGGGTTATCCTTTATAAAAGCAGACTGGTGCTATCTGTGCAGCTTAATACTACTTTTGTGAATCTTAGCTGGTCATTTTCTTTTAAAAGAGACACTCACATTTTTGGTACGTTGTCTATTCTCCACACACACATTGTCTTTCCAATCACTCATGGATGCGCTCACAAATGCAAACCTTTGCCAACATTTTGCTCAATGGCAGGAGGCTGTGTCCACAGTTATGAAACCAGATTATAAAAAAGCTTTTTCTATGAGTTCATGATTCAATCTGAAATGCCAGAACAGTTACAGATATATGTTCAGTTCATGGACCAAAAGTCTTCCATTGTCAGTGACCGCGTCAGTAGTTATTATCCTTCATTTGTGAAGGAGAGTGCCATTGTTAACTCAGCTGTGATATGTCAACTTTTAAAATGATACTTTCTTGCTTAAAGACTATTAAAAGAGCACAAAGGCCACAGAAACAATCATGATTCAACAAGTCAGTTGTAAATAATTAGCCACTGAGCTTTTAACCTTACGTCCAGCGCTTGTATAAACTAGTTTTATTCTGAACTGAGTTTGACAGAGTGAATTGGACCAGAAACAGATGGAGAAAGGTGTAAGCTTAATTTACTGTTGTATACTGTAGTACAGGAGCTCATTGCACGCAGCCAGCAGAGACCCTAGGCCACTCGGAAATCGATTGTGGATGGCCCTCTTCTCTCGGTCGGTTACAGATTAAAAAGAAAAAAAGGAAATGGGTCACAAAATATATTTTGGTGGATTTTTATATCCCTGGGCTGCCTGCGAAACTAGGTTGAAAGTGAACTCTCACCATACATTTGGTAAGGAGGGAAGCCTGCTTGACAGTAAAGATATTTTAGCATGCTTAGATTACTGGGCTTGGTCTCAGGGTCCGACACATCAGCAACATTTAAAACATTTAAAAAAGCACCTCAATGGAATTGACTCAATTTCTTGTGTGGTGTTTTTACATATCCAATGTTATGTAACCCTGTTCGGCTGAATAGGAAGTTCAGTCAAACAAAACTGGTCCCTGCATAACCCCAAAACACTGTCACGAGCTTTGAATTTCCCATTTTCTGCCCGGTGTGACCATACATGTATCAAAGAAAAGCTATGTTCTGTTGCCTCTGACCGCACTTGGGTTTCTGTTTGGCTTATCTACAGGTGTTATCATGGACAGATCACTTTTTTTTAAGCTTCCGAATCCAAAATAATTCATGAGACCTTGCAGGGGTTAAAAAAAACAGTTATCGATGGTGGAAAACAATGGTTGTACTTTTAGCTTGCTTTTGTGCATCCTATAGTCAGCTTTCAGTGTCTGACATCTGTGGCCAAGCTCTGTAAGTGCTGAAGGAACGCAGCCACACTGAGGCACGTCCAATTAGACACTTAATAAAGCTAGAAAAGCCCAGCGACCTTTGACTAGCCACTCTGCCAGTATGTTTGTGAGGAGTCCAGCCAAACTTAACTTGCCTCATCACACACATCAGAGCATTGACAAGTGCACGCAGAGATACAACTCACCAGACATACATACACACACTCAGACACACACTCTGTGTGCCGTGTTCTGCCGGATCTCAGTGCCACTCAGTCGTCTCTTTTTTCTCTTCTTTTTTTTTTTCTAAGCCGCCATCCCTGTTTGGCCTTGCCATCTGTTCTCCATGCTGTGGAACACGGCGCTCCCTCTTACTGCAGGTGTTTTCGCATAGTGGCAAAAATTCTCGGTAAGAGTCAAAAGAACAGCACTCAGGACATAAGTGGTTCAGGATGAGGCCTCGATTTTTTTTTTAGACGGTTATGTCACACACACGGAGTAATTTTTGTTTTGGAGATCTTGTGTGGTAGTAATATCTCAAGGTTTACTCATCATATTGTAGCAGAAAATGCTGATTGTCTTTTTCTTGGTGTGAAATACTACTTTTAGATATTATTAGTATCATCGAGGGTGGCAGATGTAAGCGAGGTTCCCATAGTAAAGTAAGTGAATCAATTTATTTTTACAAGGCAAGGTGGAAGTGGGAGTGAATCTGTTGTTTGGTTTAGTCTGTATTTAGGTTTTATGTCCTCTCCAAATGCTAATTATCACAGCTTGTCAACCAACAAGGTTTGACATTTAAAGCAACAGAACCTTATGGGAACGTTTTCTGCAATGATTCTGATGACTCAGGGAGGGGTTTTTAAAATAAAAATGTGTGAACAATCGCAATAAAGAGATAAAGTACCGATATTAAACAAGAAAATAAAGACTCATCTGTAAACCAGTGAGAGTAGTCTAAGAAAAGAAGCCTTACTGTCCTTCTCTATGACCTCAGGTTTCTCCTGGGGGACATAATCATTTATTGTGCTCTGTTCCTATATGTGTCAAGAATACCACCAAATAAAAAGTCTATATCCCCAAACCACCTCGACTGGCTCATTTAAAATATTACCAGCTTTACCCATGATCTCATTCTATGAATCACTAACCCTGACTGTATTCTGCACAGGTGCGGATCAGAAAGACAATGAACTGGCGGGTACATTGAGGATCAGCTTCCACTTCATCACAAAAAGCCTGTGAGACACCTGCATCCTCCAACACTGCACCAAACTGACCACCTGCTGATGTTACCCTCGCTAATGAACAACATTTGGAGATGCTTCATCAATTGGGGAAGCAACTCTTTCCAAAACCAAAGAAGGTTATCCGCCAATCCCTGCAGAGAACCATGGTTTCATAGAGAGAAATATTCTGGCTATAAAAATCCAAAATGTATGGAATGATATGGTGCATGGTACAGTACAAACTTGCTCTATTAATAACTCACTAATAGATGAACAAAGAGTATGTACGTTTAGAAGTGTTTATTGATAACCAGAATGTTTGCAATAGCTTGCATTGAATTATCTAACTTTTGGGCTAAATTAAGTGTTTAGATTTAGAATAAAGCTGAAAAGTATGTACCAAGGTAAGTTTTGTACTATAAACACCTTAAGTAAGTAGACCTACTTTAGATATAAGCAGGAAGGGGAATAACTGGATATTTGAGCTTGAAAATGTGTTTGTCTGTCAGATTTTTCAAAAGTCACTTTTTTATTTTGAAAAAAGGGTCAAAAAACGAACCTACTTAGTAGACTTAAAGCAGTGTTTTGTTACTAAATCTGCTCAGGACGACAACACCTGGGACCTGGGAACGTCTAAAGCAGGGGTGGGGAACCTCCGGCCTCCGGGCCGTATACGGGCCGCGAGACCATTTGGTACGGCCCTCGAGGTAATTTATAAACACACGCAAAAAATATATTTTTTAAAGAAATCTAGACCGCAAAATAATTAGACAAGCGAGTGCCTGTTTTTCCTGGCCAAGGTCAGGGTCCTTGAACACAACACGAGCCTAACGTGTCATCGTCTGGTATATGTCTCGTCGACAGGGGTGTAGTTCTGACGGAGAGCACCAGAACGCCACTCCGGGCCGGGACTTCACAAATTGCAGTACCCATAAGGAGCCGTACACATGCCGCAGTTTTTGCGTGGCTGTGTCTTAGTTGTAAGCCCAGTGGTCATGCCACAACCGTGCACGTGCATGCATGCGCAAGTCATGGTAAAATATCTGGATTAAGAGGTTGCTTTTTCTTTGCACAGCATGAAAGAAAGGCCAAATGAATGGGCTGTGATTTTAGTTTTTTTAAGCAGACGTTGAGTTCAATCATTTGTACGGCCCTCGTAGGATGTTGTAAAAATTGAAATGGCCCTTGAGAGGAAAAAGGTTCCCCACCCCTGGTCTAAAGCGTGGATTGAAAGAGTTGAAAGAGGAACTATTCACTCTCTCACACACACAGACACATAGACAAGGACAGATGCATTAACAAGGACATATACATGCACCCATCTTAACACAGACACACACACACACACACACACACACACACACACACACACACACACACACACACACACACACACACACACACACACACACACACACACACACACACACACACACACACGCGCGCGCGCGGCGCGCGCGCGCGCACACACACACACACACACACACACACACACACACACACACACACACACACACACACACACACACACACACACACACACACACACACACACACACACACACACACACACACACACACACACACACACACACACACACACGTCCCAGAACTCCCATCTGTTGAACCAGCAGTCCAGGTTGGTCTTAATGAGAAATAATGAGCCTTCACTAAATAACAACAGCTTGGAAGAATTTCACCTCCCCACATTTTATTAGAATAGCATCAACATTACTTCCTTTTCCTAGATACAAAATCCATACAATTTCTTTATAACTGCCTTTTTTCATACGGTAAAATCATTGACATTTGGCATTTTGTTTTTAATCTCATTGTTACTGTATTTAAGGGAAATCAAACATTAAGTGAGTCCTGGCTGGATATAAACTAATGTGTTGCAGTTCACTTTATATTGACAAGGGTAATCTTTCCACCATCTCCTTGATGAAGACATACAAATTCAAAGTACAGGCAGATGTATCACAATGGCCTCTTTAAATTAAGAGCACAAACCTGGAATGAAAGAAGCTCAAAGGGGAAACAAACCCCTTCCTTCAAAGTTTGGCATTGTTCACTAATAAATCAGACCCCGAATGGAATTGCTAGGCCTCTAACAGCTGGCATAGCTGTCAGCAAAAACACTGACTGTTTGTGTGTGTGTGGTGTGTGTGTGTGTGTGTGTGTGTGTGTGTGTGTGTGTGTGTGTGTGTGTGTGTGTGTGTGTGTGTGTGTGTGTGTGTGTGTGTGTGTGTGTGTGTGTGTGTGTGTGCGTGCGTGCGTGCGTGCGTGTGTGTGTTTGTCTACATCAGGCATCAAGTCAGGGAATCCAACTGGCCTTGCACGATTTCAAGCTGAAAGAGAGAGGAGAAAATGTTGAGTGTATGCTTAAAAAGAAGTACACAAAAGAGACACACACAAACACGCACACACATTCATGGAAAGTCAAGAGAAAATAGAAATAGGCCATTAAAAGAATGAGTTAGACAGGAAGGCAGATGGATTTTGCCAGGCAATGTCTGTCAATCAGGATGAAATGCAAAATGGAAGATAGGCGCTGACAGAACACATTCTTACACACACTCGATCACACACACAAATAACAGACCTTATTGTAGAAGTCAACCAGCTCCTGGTGGTTAAAATCCACAAAGACATCTTCTTGAACCTGAAAGGTATGAAGAGAAAGAGATGTAGGGTTAGACAAGAATAAGACTGAGCCAATAACTGAACAAATAAGAAAAATAAAGATCAGAGAAGTACAAGGACAACGGAGAAGAGGATGAAAAGCAGCAATAAGAGCACATGCATAAGAGTAATGACCAAGGCATCTTGGCTTTCTTGTGCTTTCTATATAAACCTTCATTAATTATTACTGCTCTCTGGCCAGTACTTACTATCCTCTAAGTCTTATTCTTTAAGAGTGTTTAAAAATACACTGAAGGCAAAGCCACTGTCCACATGGTAGGAAACCCATCTCTCTTTCTCCATTCTGTTCGGCTTTATTTAAAAAGAAGCGGACTGATGCATCACATGTAGAAAGATGGACAACACGTTTCAACACTGATATCAAAATAAACACATGCAGTAACTTTGCAAAGCATGTATGTAACCCACTTATGTGGATGTTGGGCATCTGAATTCAATCATCAAAAAAAAGTCCATTATATCTACTGTAAGTATGTCAGGTTTAAAAAAGTGTAAAACAGGTACTCTCACCAATTCTGTATTTCTTTGTTTCCCAATCCTTTAAATTAAGGCCTAAATAAATTGAAAAAACCCCAGATATGATTAAATAATGTATCTTTATCATTCAAATATAGCAAGATGTATTTCAAAAGAGTGAACAGAAAAATAGCGTTATGATAGACCGACATTGATAATTGTAACATTTACAACTTTAAACATTGAAATCACATTAGTAATACAACTATGAGAATATAATCCACCATTAATTCCTTTCTATTTGTTTTCATTATCGCTTCGTCCCCCTCCCCAATTAGCAACATTTAAATTATTTAGACAAATAGCATTATTTTATTCTTTTCAAATGTTTCATAGTTATCTTGATCATATTATTGTCACTTATGAATGCCACGATAATTGTGTGAAGAAAAAACTGATATTGACTGACTTAGGGAAAGAATAGGGAAATATAGGAATAAGGAACCTCTTGTCTTGTGAAGCTTGGATCTGAAAAAAAGAATTGTGAACACTGCTTCAATAACTTTAAGTGTCTTCCATCTGTTTTCATGCTGTGCAATTTAGCAATTTATCTGTATGTGGATTCCATTAAGGTTCACCTGGGAGCCTTTTGTGATGTATCTCTCCACTCTGAAAAGACCGCACATTTGACTAACTATGGATTGTATGTACTATGGTAAGTTCTGCAGAAAAAAATAAGAAACCAAGGGCAACCATCACTGCGCTGCCTGCTGTCATCATTATCATCACCCCATCACAAATGAAAGCTGAAGAATAATTCACCCCCATGAGTGGGAGTAATGGAGAGACACTTTATCACACCCATCATTGAGAAAATAGCCATAATATGTGAGATGTTTTCTAGGTAACACAGAATGAGAAGTCGTGTAGCCGACTAAAGTGCACTCAGTGCTGTCTCGCTAAATGTTGATAATAACAGAGAACTGTGCACACCAGCTAGGAGGGCAGCAGGGAACTAAGAAAGAACGAGGAAAAAACCACAAAGAAAGAGATCTGTGCAGAAAGATATTAGAACAACATGTGCGTACACTCTCATTTAAAGCTCTCCTCCCAGCAGTTTGGTGCTCAGAGACCAAACAGCGCTTTGGGGCTTGAAGCTAACTGGCTGGCTGGCTGGTTGTGTGGGTGGAGGGAGGCCATGTGTCACTGCAAATTAATGACAGAGATATTAATTGGAAGCAACGTTAAAAGTCCATAAAGGAGAGCGCAGAGGGGGAATGCTATCTCTCGTCAACGCCACCAAACCGCAGCAGTGTCACATCACAAGGAAAATGTAGGACAGTGTTGAGTTTAGATACGGCAGAGGGAGCGCTGCGAGGACACGACAGGTAATAATACAACTTATTAAAGTGTTGTTATGAAGTGAGACGCAATGTAAAGAAGATGCACATCAAAGTAGTTCTACAGGGTGACAAATCATCCTCAGAGTAAACAAGGAAGGTGTTAGGAAGTGATTTAATTTGAAATACAAATTGGGCATGCAGTTAAATTTGTTGAATGATGAACACACCATGTGCTTCAGCACAGCACTGATTTAGGTGACTCTACTGATCTTCACTGCGGCAAACACTAGTATAATGAGCAGGAACCAGCGCTGCATAATCACTTCTCTGGGTTTATGGTCTTTAGTGAGCGCGGGTCACAGAAACAACACCCGTCGAGTTGGAAACAGGAATAAACAGTCGTCGGCAAACTGAGCTGTCTCCATTACTGTCTGACAGAGTTGAGACAGGGGGCAACAGGAAATGCAGTTTGAGGTTGTGTGAGATATGATGTCGATCAAAAAGTAAGGTACAATAAAGACAACAACAAACCAGACTGTAACGCTTCCTGTCTGAATCACAGGGGCTGAGGATCAAAGTGTGTTCGTGCTTATGAGGATGTGAGATTGACAGAGTTTTCTGACTGTTCGAAAACTTCCAGGCACTGCCGGGTATGTATGTGTATGTGTATGTGTGTGTGTGTGTGTGTGTGTGTGTGTGTGTGTGTGTGTGTGTGTGTGTGTGTGTGTGTGTGTGGGTGTGTTTGGCCCATCCCATTGTTCCTCAGGGTTGAAGTTTTGCCAGGCAGTAACCCAACAAGGCGCTGACAGATCTAGGCTAACACTAATGGGGATAGGGTGCATCATCCTCATCATCACAGCCCTATACTTACACACACACATGGACAAACACACACACACACACTCTCACATCTTATCTGTCAAAATCCTGTGTGTCAGATACAGAAAACAGGATTAACCCGTAACGATAATCATGAATTCACTTGCATCTGGTGTTCCATATGCACCACATGTAGGAGAGTATGTTATCATAATATAGGCTACACACTAAGGGAGATCCAAAACATGAGAGAGAATAAACTAACATACAAATCAAGGACATTTCCATAAAAGCATCCTGCCATGATATGGGAGTACACATTCTGTTGCAGCTCTCTGTCTTATAGCCCTCGAAAAGGTGACCTGTACAATTCCCCAGAAGACCCTCTAAAGTCAGGGAGGAGTAATTGAGACAAACGTATTTGCGAAAGAAAACAAAGACCCCTGTAAAGTAATTACTTAAACAGACTGCAGTTTCGTCACAGATTTTAGAGTGACTTTCTGCATTACCTGTCACAGACTAAACTCACTGTAGTTTCAGGAGTACTCCCTTTGAGTTAGACCTAGAAATTAAAAACAGTGGCCAGTCATGATTTTTTTGACAGACATTCTTGGTCTCCAGAAGATAAAGCCTTCTCTCTTTGAATTTTTGAAAACATTTATGATTTGGTTTCCAGATTCCAAAGGTTATCGTGAAGAAAACTGAATACAAGATATACAGTAGAAATGATATCCAAGACCAAAAATATGTTTAAAAGCTGCAATATAGTATATAATAATAATAATAGTTTATATAAGACCCCACGTGTACTCCATCGAGCAGTAGTACTTTCATACCAAAGGGAGTCTGTGTGAATCGGCCTGGGTGGACGCAAAAAGCCATTTCATCAATTATTTGCCTCAGTGCAATAAAGAATAGCTTGAATTTGAATTACTTGGGAAAGCAGTGAATTTGTAACTGCTTCTATCGAGTAAGAAATCTAAGAAAAGTTGACAAGGAATGGAGATTGATCAAATCACAGAGAGGTGAAATAGGTATGAGAGAGTAAAGCAAGACAGAGATGAGTAGAAAATGAACGACAGAGAATGAGAGCTAAAGACAAGAATGAAAAGTTGTGAAACTTACTGAAATATTTTGTATATTAAAGTTACATTTTTGTATATAATATAATACAAAAATGTAACTTCCAAACTTAATTTAACAATTACGCATTTTTTTAACTCATAAAGAGAGAAAAATAACACTTAGGGTTAGGTGTGTGTGTGTGTGTGTGTGTGTGTGTGTGTGTGTGTGTGTGTGTGTGTGTGCGTGTGTGTGTGTGTGTGAAACTGTTGGTAGAAGCAACCATAAAATATGCATTGCAAAGTCCAGACAGGACAGGAAGTGATGCAAATCAATCTCAAGTGTCGACAACGAGTGTCAGTCACTCTTCTGCAATCTAGTCAAATGTCATGTGTGAAATATGGTGTGTGTCTCGGAGAAAGGTGAGAGGTTTCTGATTCATACTTTATATGTGTATTGACACCATCTTGAAGATCAGCATTTGAGGGCTTGTGTAGAAGTCTTGTATCTCATTACATCTGATGACTCTGCTTCTTATTAAAGAACATCCTTATTGTTTTCTTTAGCTCTGTGTCATTCAACAACTTTGATTTTATAGTTAATTCTGCTTGTTTGTATGAACATCATCTTTCATAACAATTTTTATTGTTTTTTCTTTTTTCTGTAAAGCACAATGTTTAAAAAGTCCATTACAGATATAATTTGCTTACCTGCTTGCATGCATGTATCAGATTATATTTTTTACTCGTTGCTGCTAACTAGTATTCATTTGTCAGAAACGTCCTTGTAAGCCTTTTTAAAATAATATTTAGTTTTCCTTGTCCTGTTTTTTTTGTCACGTTTGAGCTGTATTAGACAAAGTTTATAACTCTGTAGAGTAATGATGATGAACTAAACTCAGGGATATGCTGTTCATGGGAAGTTATCTTCCTGGTATGGGCTCTTGCTTTCTTGATGGCCAACAGAGTGCATTATAGGTAGACGTTGAGTTGTGTCGCAGTACATTTTGAGACAAGTTGAAGTTCTTTTTCCTGCCTTGCTAAGACATTCTCTTTTTTGTGTCAGCTCCCCTGTTGGTTAGCTGACTGGTGCAGCGACCGGAACACCAAACCTGAACGGTGGGAAATAAAGCCAGGTCCTGTCAGGGGTGGACACGTGTTTTCCTCTGTGCACTACCTCGTCGCTCTGTGGCAAACCTAGATTGTGTTATCTTATCCAGAAATGATGTCACATTCATACCTCAATTAGCAAGAGATAAAAACATGATTGCTGTGAAAAA